CCCAGAAATGAATCAGAGGCTGACTCCTAGAAGCTCAGAAGTCTTTATTCACTGGCCCATGGACTGTTCTGTACCGTTGCACGTGGAAGAGGGGAGCAGCCCTGATTAGCTATGTTCAGATGTTCTTAAGCAATGATTATCCAGTCAGCTAAGAGAGTACTAGCACATGATGCGAAGTGTTCAGTCAACCAACCTTACACCAATGCACAGTACAAATGATACAATCAACTGTAGTGGCATGGAACACAGATACCCAGTTTAAGCACTATACACTTTAAACTATCCAATCGGCATCCCACCAAGTAACAAACACAGAACCAGGCAAACAGGTCCTTCCAATTCTATTTACAGAAAACACAATGGATCAGTCAGCTTGCTGCCTGAATTGTGAAAGAAAAGCAAGATCTCCCACTAGATCTTGAGATCAGGACTCCCACTCTTCTTTCAGGACATTCCAAGAGTCCAAGATTGTGGCACATGTTATGAATATATCTCAGAAATGTTTCAGAAGGCCTAGCCTGTCTGGGCTATCACACTACAACAGTCAGAAGGGGAACTCCAAGAGAGGAGACCCCCAGAAAATTCAAGTGATTTTTTTTTTGTAATGACACAGCTTAATAGGTACTGGGATCTCCCTTTTCCCTCCCCAAGATCCCTCCTCTTCCCACTGTTCTCCCCTCCAGTCTTACAATGGGTGTCTTTCATGGATTTTTACAAGTCATTGTGCTGCCACTCAGGTGTTTCCCAACAGTGTAGATTATCAGCCATTTCACTGTGAGTCCATCCTTGTACTGAATGCATGGGACATACTTCTCTCTGTTTCCACCTATGAATATATTAATTTCCAATACACTTCCATTATGCATCTCCTTAGGTACAGTTCACCATGGTAAGAAAAACTTTGAACCTTCATCCCCATGAAGTTGACAAACATGTAACAAAGGTATCAGTGCAACGTTAGGGTAGTGGAAAGGAGTGTGCAACATCTTCCTGTAGGAATAAATGCTGGCATGTATCCCATGTGGCACCAGTTGTCCTTCAGTCGTTCAATATGTTCTTAGTTTTTCTGCCAGTTCTTCCTGCTCCTGAACTGCTTGTGTCATCCTGAAATTCAAGATGCTGGACCTCTTTGATCACATCCCTCCCCAAGGTTGTAAAAGCAGTTGGCCCATCTTCCACTGTTTTCAGGTCATATGCAGGGAGATGGATTGGAAATGGAGCAGCTGGGACATGAAACAGTGCCTTTTTGGAATGTAGTCGCCACAGGTGGATGCTGAGCCTACTACACCATGGTGCTGGCCTCAAAGTTTACTTATTTATTCTCATATTTCCACTCCCCATTTCGCTGTGCTACTTACATTTCTTCGGTGTTTTCTCATGTATTTTCCAGTACAGCACAAATTTCTCACCAGAGTTCAACAAGGACCTCAGTATCTGGCTCTTAGCAGTTGACTATTCCTGGAGAGTGTTTAAATCAAGGGCTTTTACAAGGATTTCACAGAAATGGTCCCTAATTTATTGTAATTGTTATTGGATTTAATCAATTGATAATCATGCCCAATTTTAAAAGCTCTTTCTATGGTAAAATATTTTTTGTCACTCACAATTTCAAGTGTAGCCACTTCTAGCTCCTAATTGGCATGCTACAAGTGAATCATAGCATTGAAGTTGGAGCTCTCTCATCCTGAACTTCCCGCATTAAGTATACATGTTCTGGAGGCTGAGATGTTCATTTAGATACTTTGAATCTGTTTTATTCTCCCATAGCATTAAAGGCAGTATGAAGGAGGTATTTATGTGGGTGAGAGTGGTTGATAAAGTCCTTGTTCTAACAGTATATTTCAAACCATAGACTGTAGAAAATAAAAGGACCTAGGACAGGATGGCCTCTACCAGTACAAGAGACCCTAATAAATGGTCATCCATGTGGGTTTTTTTATTGTAATAAATTATAAACAATACTTAATATAGCTTTTTTCTAATTATACTTCAGTGATGTTAAGAACATATACAATAGACTACAACCATTACCATTCTACTTTCCCAGAACTTTTCCATCATCCCAAGTAGAAGCCTCAGTACTTTTATAGGTGTTATTATTTATTTGAGAAGCACAGTTTTGTGTGTATATGAAGCCAGGAGCTTCTTCAGTGTCTCCCACTTGGATGCAGGGGCACAAGGACTTGGGCCATCTTCCACTGCTTTTCCAGGTACATTAGCAAGGAGCTGGATGGAGCAACTGAGACTCCAAACAGTGCTCATAGAGGAGTCGGCATCACAGGCTGCAGCTTTATGTGCTGTGTCACAACTCGACCACAACCCCCAGAAACTCCAGTAGTTTAAAAACAATAACTCGCCTTTACCCTCCACTTTCAGTCTCAGAACTGTTACTCTTTGTTTTCCTGTCAAGTTGCCTATTCTCAGAACCTTATATAAGTGGGCTCTGTGCTTTTGGCTCCTATTTATTTCACTTAGTGTAATGTTTTCAAAATTAATGCTGCAGCATATATCAGAAAATAATTTACTTTTTGTGACACAATAACATTTTATGGTTTGCATATACTAACTTCTGTGCATTTATTTATCTGATAATAGGTATTCCTATTGTTTCTGCTTTTGGGTTATTATGAATAATGCTTTTAACAGTATTGGCATGGAAATATCTGTAGCTTTGCTTTCTGTTCTTTTGGGTGTTTACTTAGTATTGAATTGCCTTATTATTTGATCATTCTATTTTTAATGTTTTGAGAATTCACCAAACTATTCTCACTGCATCATTTTACAATCCTACCAGCACTATAAAGCTTTCACAATATCCCCATATTCTCACTAACATTTGTGACACTCTTTTTCGTTTTGCTATGCCTTGTATAACAGACACTGGAAAGGAAGTGAGTAATATCTTATGAGCATTTATTGAGTATTAAATCTTGCATTGTTCTAGCACTACTTCTCAACCTTGATTTCACATGGGAATCACTTAGGGGCTTTTAAAACTTTGAGCATTTAGGCTACAACTCAGATTGATTAAGTAAACATCTCTGAGTGTAGAACCTTAGCATCAACATTTTAAGGTTGCTTAAGTGATTGCTATATGCAACTAGGCATGGAGACTTATCATTGCATTCCCTTTCAAAACCCCTGCTGAATAGCCAGGACTTGCTATTTGGGACCAGTATTAACTTCTCCCCCACCCCCCGCCAAGGATTTATTTATTGGGGCTATTGCTGAGGCTTAGCAGGTATAACCACTGCCTGGGATACTGGCATTCCCCTATGGGCACCAGTTGGAGTCCTGGCTACTCTACTTCCTATCCAGCCTCCTGCTAATGAACCTGAGAAAGCAGCAGAGGATGGCTGAAGTGTTTAGGCCTCTATATCCATATAGGAGTCCTGGAGGGCTCAGCAGGCTCCTGGCTTTGGCCTAGTCCAGTCCTGGTCTTTGTCGGTCTTTGGGGAGTGAACCAGAGGACAGTGGACCTCTCTCTCTCTGCCTCTCCTCCCCCCCTACAATTCTACCTTTCAGGGAAAATAAAATTATCTTTAAAAAAGGGGATGGGAAGTGGGGAGAAACACACAGAGAAGAAAAAGAAAGAGAGAGAAATTGAGACCTTTGATCTGTGGGTTCACTCTCCAAATGGCTACAACATCTAGGTCTGGGTCAAGCTAATGCCAGGAGCCAAGAACTCCATCCAAGTCTCCCACATATGTGTCAATGGCACAAGTAGTTGAGCAGTTTTCTGCTGCCTATCCAGGCATGTTAAGTAGGGAGCAGGATCTAAAGCAGTGAAGCAGGAACATGAGCCAATGTTCCAATACAAAATGCTAGTGTTGCAGGCTGCTGCTTAGTGTGATGTACCACAGTACTGGCCCTAAGTCATTTTCTTGTTTCTCTGTCAGAGGAGTTAAAAAACAAAACAAACAAACAAAAAACACTGAGGGCTCACAGGAAAAGCAGCAGCTCTAGAGGCCAGCCACAAACATGTTTCAACAACTCAGTTACCCTTTGAGTCTCCATTTTTTTTTTTCCATTTTGAAATGTGAGGTTTCAGTATGGAGTTTTAGGATCCTTTGAAACTTCATCAATGTGGACATTTTTTGGTACCCTTAAAAAAACCAAAAAAACCTTTCCAACCAGCTTCTGAATAAGCTACAGAGATCATGCTTTCATTGATAGGAGCCACCCACTTTGAGTGAAATACAAGGCAATGTTTTCATTGAGAAGGTGATGTTTGTAGAGTCCAATCAGATGCCAACACTAACAGAAACATATAAGTTATACTGTGAAAAGAAGACATAGTTTGGGCACCAAGAGAAGGTTGCTAGGAACAGTGAAAGGATTTCTTGAACATGTTGGTAGCTACTGTCACAGAATCAAAGTAAATCGTTTGGGTGAACTGATGGTGACAGCCTTGACACCATGTACTTCTCTCTCTTGAGGCAATCTACATATGAACATCAGCTCCTGCATGACCTGAAATAGGGTAAGGAAAATAGGATGAACCTTTTTTCTTTTCATGTAGACACTGGTTCAAGTTACATTTTTTTTATTTAGCATTATCTCTTCTTCACCCAATAAATATGAATGACACATTGAATACACACTGGTGAATAAAACAGTGGGGATCAATGTCTTGTTGAGCTTACAATCTATCTAATAGGTTAGGTGTGCAAACCAGAGATCAACCAACCACGTTTCTGAGTACCAGCTGAGTTAAGGGTTGGAAGGAAGGTCGCAAGTTCTCAGAGAATAGTTGTGCAACTTCAGCCAAGTTAACTTACCTACCTGAACCTCAGTGTCCTCTTCATATTGCAGCTAACCACTATAGCATACCAAGTGGTAGGCACATTCCCTGACGTACATTAGTACACAATAAATATATGTTGCACCTGCTAATTGTGATTACCTTCCTAAGGTCAGCAAGGAAAGGATGAATTCTAGTTTTCCTATATGTCCTACATCTTTTCAAGTCTTTGCATTTGTGTGTTCATGTCTTTCAGTTCCAAGGAGGGTTTCGGATCAGTGGAGAAGGTTGTGCTGCTCACATTTCTCTCAGCTGTTATCCTGATGGCCATCCTGGGAAATCTGCTGGTGATGGTGGCTGTGTGCAGGGACAGACAGCTCAGGTGAGCAGCAAGAGGCAACCTCCCTGGCAAACATGACTGGAGTTTGCACTGTCCCTGGAGACATGGATGTAAGCATTTCTATAATAATTACAAAGGAACAGCTGGGACAGCTTTTAAAGCAAATAGAGAAGAGAAAAAGGAATCCCACATAATACTATAATTGTGAGGCAACCAGTGTTTAAGTCTTTCAGTGTATTTCTATACTGTGGGTTTTTTTTTTTTTCCTGTGTCATGTCTGTAGTTTATCGGTGATTCTCGGAAAGCATGGTTGACTAATGACCAATCTAGGAATTATATCTGGGTCTTTTCTTTTTGTTTTATCAGTCTCAACCATGGCTGCAGTTAGAATCACCTGAACACATTTTCAAAGTACTACTGTCTGATATCAGCATGTCTTATGCGCTATGGATGTAGTTACACCAAAAGAAGTATTCATTGTTGGAGTTCAAAGTTAACTGGGCATCTTGTACTTTGTCTGGCAGTTGTTAAAGATAGTAGGAGGATTCAGTATTCAGGGTTCCTGAGCTAGTTGATTTGGACTGGTGCCTGCATATCAACGCTTAATAGAATCTACTGGGTGATGTAGCACACAGCCTAGATTTAAAGCCACTGGGCTATTAAAGGCTTAAAAGATGCAGTTTCTAAGCACGACATGTGTTAATGCAGTGATGAGGCAAATAAAATGTGAAGATACAATTCTGACATTGTCACAATTACTAGGCACCTTTGTCAGTGTAAATGTGTTAAGTGACATCTGAGGTGAGTTGTGAGGGAGTCACCCTGGGAGAATTCTTGGAGAAGACTCAGTCATGAGGAGGCTGAGTGGGAAGAGGGCAGCCAATAGTTTGAGGAGAGAACAGCTGTGTAAGATCTGAAGGAGAGAGCACCTCAGACAGGGTCCTCAGATCCAGTCAGGGTTACCAGAGGGAGGGCTTCCTGTTTGGTGGAAAGTGGGGCTCAGAAGCCAGAAAAAACTGGATATATAGTGTCTTCTCAGCCATGTTACAGAAGGGGAGGCAGTCTCACCATGTGGTTTTTCTGCTCCCTTTCTCCCATTTTTCCTTCTTTCAATACTTCCCCTTTCCTCCATTGTCTCTTTTCTCCCTGACATTTTCTCCTTGTCCCTTCTCCTGACTCCTGCCTTTTGCTTTTTTCTTTACAGGAAGATAAAAACCAATTATTTCATTGTATCTCTTGCCTTTGCGGATCTGCTGGTTTCAGTGCTGGTGATGCCCTTTGGTGCCATTGAGCTGGTTCAAGACATCTGGATTTATGGGGAAATGTTCTGTCTGGTCCGGACATCCTTAGACGTCCTGCTCACAACAGCCTCGATTTTTCATCTGTGCTGCATTTCTCTGGATAGGTAAGGACAGATAATGTGCATAGTGTGGTACTCCATGCTGGAGACAGTGACCTGATAGATATTGGGCTAAGTCTTTCTTCCTTAATTCATTAGCTAGTATGAATCTCAGAGAAGTGCATTTGGGGTTATTCTGTTGCTCAGTCAGTATCCAGCTTTCACAGAGGGACCCTTTGTAGTCAGGTACTCCCTAAGGCATAGCAGATACAGAGACTGGTCAGATCCAGAACCTGCCTGCAAGGAGTTTATAGTTTAGCTAGTGATAGCTATCAGTGACCCTGTTTATACAGTGCTCTCAGTCATTTAGTGATGGTATGAGCAAAATTCTGAGGGAGCTGAGTGCTAGGAATTAATACATCTGCTCAGTGGGTCGCAGGGGTGACTCACAATGGTAGTACCTTCATGTTTGACCATGCTTTTCCTGAAAAACTACACTTACGTAGTTTTAAAAATGCATGATTACATGCATGCTTCCAAAGTGAAGATTGCCTCTCAGAAAGTTAAAGCAATAGTAAAATCTTCCATAATTGTCATTGGACCCAGGTCTGTCATTTCCTTCCTGTTGCATATTTTTTTTTTCTTTCTGTTCATGTATGACTTCAGGACCTAGCGATTTGCATCTTTGCTTCTTTTATATGAGGTGGATATTTTTCTTTTGTACCAACACTTCTCATTCTCCAATTTCTGATCATTTATATTCAATCAGAAAGGCTGAATGTAATTTGAAAATCAAATGACTATAAGAACATACGCTTCTGTCAGTACAGTCATATGAAGAGTGGTTTCACAAAAGAAAGTGTGGGGTGAACATTATCAGAATTATCAGGGACGTTCTCTTAGTGCCTCTTTAGTAATCCAACAGACCCAAATTTTCCCCAAGTCTTGAAATAAATCGTTGTTTTTGTCATTGAGGACTAGAACAAATAGGTGATTAGAGTCAGAAATCATGGTTTGTGTGTGTGTGTGTAATTTTAACCATTATGAACTAAAGTCATGGTCTCCATAGAGGCTTACATGGGTGAGGACCTTAGTGACTGAAACCAGCTAAGGCAACACCAGATTGATGTCTTATCTTGTGATACACATACTTATTAATTGGAATGGCAGATGTATGACCTGCTCTATTTAAACTGCTCTGCCGAGAACATACGGTTGAATGTGTTTAAGCTTCATGCATATAAATAATGATCCTATCACTAGAGATTATAAGGATGATATAAAATAGAACTATTGGCCAAAAGCCAGAACTGTTACCCATCACGGTTTGAAATTTGAGGGTTTTTTTAAGTTTATTTGCAACAACATGATTTCAGTAATTAAAGACATTTTAAAACAGTCAACATATATTACATGAAAGTTCATATTTTAGAGAACAAAGTGAATTGAAGTAGAAAATATATTGAAAGTCTGCAGGGTAACATGTGTGATCATTGCAGAAAAGAGAAATTAGACTTAAAGTGCTATGGAAGTGTGGAAAAGACACTGTTGAGGATCTAGAGCAGCTGGAGGTGCCCTTCAGGTTTGAGCAAAATCTAGGGGAAGAAAATGCCCCAGGTAGGGAATAAAAAATGAGCAAAAGTGTCGAGCCACCCACCTGGTGTAGAAAGCTTACCATGGGAAGTGCTAAGAGAAGGCCTGGAACTTCCTTGAGAAGCCTAAACCTCACAGTTCCAAATTTCCAACTTTTGCCTGAGTAGGCATGCATTGTCAGGACACAGTATGGATTGGTCGGTCATTCAGCACCATCTGCTTTAGAACTGAAGAGCTGGGCCCAGTATGGTAGCCTAGTGGCCAAAGTCCTCACCTTGCATGTGCTGGGCTCTCATGTCCTGGCTGCTCCACTTTCCATCTAGATACCTGCTTGTGGCCTGAGAAAGCAGTCAAGGACAGCCCTAAGCTTTGGGACCCTGCATGCACTGGGAGACCCAAAAGACACTCCTGACTCTGTGGTTCGGATCAGCTCATCTCCAGCCATTGCAGGCACTTGGGGAGTAAAACAGCACAGGGAAGATCTTTCTCTCTGACTCTCCTTCTCTCTGCAAATCTGCCTTTCCAATAAAAATAAATAAATCTAAGAAAGAAAGGAAGGAAGGAGGGAAGGAAAGAAGAAAGAAAGAAGAGCTCTACGTTTTTTACTTCTATTAATGGCAATGATACTAAGCCTTTCTGAATCTCGGTTTTCTTCAACAACAACAACAACAACAAAAAAAAAAATAGAGGAGATAGCATATATTCTATAGGACTGCAGTTAGGAATAAATTGCATAAGGCATCGCATTGGCCCGGCACTAAACACAAGTGAAAGCTGTTGTTATTTTTAGTTTCTTATAATTAACTTTGTGACTCATGATCTTTCTTACCAAACTTGGGCCTCCTCAGTGAATGGCCCACATTGTAATTCTTAATGTGGTTTACATATGCTCTACATTTAAGTAATGACAAGTCCTGCACCTTTTCTTTCTTCAAAAGTTGCTGTATTATTTTACCTCTCTGTCATCCCAGTTCAAACCTTAAACATATTATCTCTTGCATAAATCACTGCAACAGCCTTCTAATTGCTCTCACCAAATTATTTTGTACTGCTGTAATTCACCTGTCACTCCTAAGTTCAAATAGCTGTCTTTTAAGCAGAAAGTTCTGCTCTTACCGCTCTTTGTTTTAAACCACTCTATGGCTGTGCATTGCACTGAGGAGCATGATGAAATTTCTTTTCGTTGTTTTCCTCCTGTCCTCGCCCCCGTTTCTCTCGTGTCTTCTGCCAGGCTCATCTCTAGGCCCTAGCCGCATTTCTCTTTCTGCAGCTACTTGTGCCCAGCCATCTCAGGATTTCATCTCCACCCTCTGCCCCTCTCACCTGTGTGCCTTTTCAATTTTTCCTCAGCTCTTTTTCCCTTGCTGAAATCCTTTCCAGTTCCATCAAAATTATTCTTCTTTTCAGTGCAATTGTGATTAAAATCATTTCTGTAATTTCTTCCTAAACTTCTCTCATTCCCTTAAGGGGACAAAATTCACAGTTCTGAATAGGGAAAACTCCTCCCTCAAAGAACTTACATTTTCCTGGGGAGATTGATGTTTAACCAGTGATTGACTGCATTAATGAAGATTTGGATATCAGGCAATCAATTATTGGACAATCATCATGTCCTCAAGCTGTCAGCAGTTCTGTTGCTTTCTCTGATAGGAGACATCAAAAACCTCATTACTGTAAATAAGATTAAATCAGATGATCCTGTTTCATTGTTTTTACACTAGCCTGGGAAACTTGCCAGTTGCCTCTCAAGTATTCCCACTCTCAACAGTGATACTTTATCCCACAGGAATGTTGTGGGTTAGGCATGACACATCTTGGATATAGGGTGGAAGTGAGATCATGACTGTCAACGTCACCAGTAGCAGGTGATGTGGAAGAATGGCAGTTGCCTTGCACAGAGGAGTGTGAGAAAGATAAGAGCAGGTACCAACTTCTTCCCAATTGACTGAAGAGGGAAGGCTTATCTTAGTATCTCCAAAATAAGAAAAGAGATGTATCATTTCCAAGTATCTGTGTTAGGCCACCTATTCCAAAATCCTTCTATTGGTCTCCTGTACCCATGCTTTTCACCTTCAGTCATTCTGATGTCCTTTCTCTGAACATACTGTCCTTTGTCCTATATTTGTCATCAGGTGGAAATTCCCTTTTAGAGTGTATTTCACTTCATTGAGGATACAATTCTCAATAGCACTGCAGGATTTTCCTGTTTGATATGTCCGACTGAATTGTCTGTCATCTTTCCTCTGAACAGATCAGAAACCTTACCTGTTTATTTGCAAAATCCCCCAAAAGTTTCTTAACCACAGATTTTCTTTTAAACATGTTGACTTGTAAAATGTATAATTTCAACTCCAAGCCTGCATATTTTATCCTGTGCTGGAGATAAATGTGTCTGCATTTCTTAAATGATTTCCCTGGAGTTAAACTCAATTTTATAATGTATAAATGCAAAATGTCTGTCACTGTGAACTTGTGTCACACAATTACATTTGTTTTCCCAATAGAATTGAAATGTATTTTATCAAGGAAAGCATCGTTAAGGTTTCTCTTCTCAAATTCTCTTTGGGACCAGATTCATGGCTATACGTAATAGTAACATTTATTGAGTCAAATTCCGGTTCGAAAGACATGAACTGCTATTTTTATATTCATTTCATCAAATATTTATGGAGTGCTTAGTAATTGCTGTCAGGCATTCTAGGCACTGGAAATACATTGGTAAACAAATGGAACAGCTCTGAATTAGAGCTTTTAGTCTCATGGATAACACAGAGAGTAAATTTGTAGTTACAGTAAAACTAGTGGCCATTGAAATGTAAGGAAGAGAAGTCGAAAAAGCATTTTGTTTCTAAAGAAGGGAAGAATCCTGAAGAAGTAGAGCTGAAATGTATCAGTTGAGGGTGTGGGGATGTGTAGCAGAATGAGTAGGGGATGAGGTATGAGGCCGCAGTGCCACAAAATGCATCAACACAGAGTTTTCTGAGGCACCTTATTAATACAGGCTTAATTCTTGCCATGCCTTTCCTTGCTTTTCCCTTCATGTCCCTAGTCTGTTTTTCCTACCCATGTGTGATCTGTTCTTCCCTGAATGTGATATGTTTTGCCTAACCCCATGTTGCCCCTGGTGCCTGGAGTTCCTCTTTTGTTTTCTTGGTAAGTACTCAGTGTTCTTCGACACTCATACAAGATGTGTCACTTCCTTTAGTGACCGATTGTACTTGTGGTTTTCCCCTCTGATCTCAGAGTTTTGAATATAAGCATCTCAGTTATTATTCATTTTAATAACCGGTATATTAATCTATCTCATACAGACTATAAATGTCCTGAGAATTTGCTTTATCCTGTCTGTTCTTATGTTCTGGTGAGTCGCATGTGGTAGCTGCTGCATGTATGGTTGAGCATTAGATGTGATTTGTGATTGTTTGAAATGACCTTGATGTTAGTTCTCTGTTCTCTTAAGAATCTCAATATGT